AATGTTTAAAGGATTTTTTCTATCTACTAGTTTTATATTTACAAAATAATTGAGGGATTTTGGATAAAGGTGATAGACTGATCATATGAGTTTCTTTCTGCTTTCACCCAAGACCATACTAAAAGAATTTAAGATGATTAAGCATCTGAACCCACACAGGAAGCATCACCAGCAATGTGGTGGCTAGAGGTTTTCTCACCTGACTTACAGGCCAGGAAAGTCTTGACCTCAAGAGCTGGTGAGGAGAGCCACTGAGACTCCAGCAGGAAAGGACAGGGTGCCAGGAAGAAAGAGGGCTGGACAGTCTCCACGCACCCCAGCCAGTCCCTATGCAGCCTGTGCCTGACTCCTGGCGGGCGCCACCCTCAGGACAGGACTGCAGACTTGCTCTGTGGGGTGCGGAGTGGGTAGGTGAGTGCCCAGGGCACAGGGGCGAGGCCAGGGCTGACGCAGAGTGGCCACCCCCAGACTCGCCTCCCCACACATGAGCAGCAGGAAGGAGGCTGTCCACCTCCTCCACCCAGTGGAAGATCAGACTTCCGGCATTCCCCCAATAAAACACTGCCCCTACCGGCTCACCAATTAAAACCCCAGCCTGAAGCACAGAGCATCAGTTGGCTCGACTGTGAATGGAACGCCAAGGATGACCAGACACATGCAGAAAGCCCAACATGAAGGACAGAGAACACGATGACCACAGAAGAGGAACAGAAGCAACCAAAGCGAGGCAGGAAAGGGACAGAGACCTTCCAAAAAATGCTAATTAGTTTCCTTATGGAGACAAGAGAAATGCTACATGCAGTCCAAAGAACAACACTATGCTCCTTTTAAAAAACAACAGTACTGAATGCTGATGACCATGTGGAGCAACAGGAACTCTCACCTGTTGGTGGTGGGAATGCAAAGCTTTTTTGGAATGCTAGAGATTTCTTACAAAGCTCAACATAATCTTCCCATATAATCCAGCAATCACGCTTCTAGGTATTTACCCAACTGAGTTGAAAACAAATGTCCAGACAAAAACTATTGCGATATTTAGAACTGTTAAAAACTGGAAGCATTCAAAATATTTGTTAATAAGTGCATGGATAAACAAATGTGGTAAATGCATACAACAGAATATTCAGTGATAAAAAAAGAAATGAGCTATCGAGCTACAAACACAAATACGTACATATATGGAGAAACCTTAAAAGCCTACTGCTAACTGAAAGATGCCAGTATGAAAAGATTACACACATCTGATCTCAAATTTACGACATTCTGGAAAAGACAGAACTACAGAGACAGTGCAAAGGTCAGTGATTACTAAGTGCTGACTTTTTTAGGTGAAATTATTCTGCATGAGACTGTAATGGTGGATACAAGACTATATGCACTGTCAAAACCCACAGAATGTACAACACTATGTGTAAACTAGGGACTTCAGTTAACAATAATGCACTAACACTGGCTCATTAAGTGGAACACACACACCACACTAGTGCAAGACGCTAAGAAGAGAAACTAAGCGTGAGAGGGGCTTCCCAGGTGGCTCGGGAGCAAAGAATGCCCCTGCCGATGCAGGAGATGCAGCAGACGTGGGTTCAATGCCTGGGTCGGGAAGATCCTGTGAAGGAGGAAATGGCAACCCACTCCAGTGTTCCTGCCTGGAAAATCCCATCGACAGAGGAGCCTGGTGGGCTGCACAGTCCACAGGATCACAAAGAGTTAGACATCACTGGGCACACATGAAAAGTATGAGAAAGGCAGATGATATGGGAACTCTCCACACAATTCACTCAATTTTTCTATAAATCTAAAACGTCTAAAAACATAAATTTAATTATTAATGTTTTCAGATGACAGCTGGAAAAAAATGCACTTCAACCTCACCTGTTATATAAAAATTAACTCAAAATGGATCATGGAATTTAATATAAATGCAAAACTATAAAACTTCAGGGAAAAAAAAACAGAAGAAAATTTCAGTATTGAGAGCTAGTGCTTAAGACTTGTCACCAAAAGCATGATCCATAAAAGGAAAAATTGATAAATTGGGATTCATTAAAATCAAACATTTTTGCTTACAAAGGACCACATTAACAGAATGAAAAGAAAGGCTACAGGCTGGGAGAAATAGCTGCAAGCCACAAGTCCAACAAAAAATTAGTTATCTAGAATATATAAAGAACTCTCCAAGTAAAAACCCAAACAACCCAATTAGAAAATGGGCAAAAGACATAAACAGACAGCTCACCGAGGAAGACAGAGAGATGGCAAGTAAGGACACAAAAAGATGTTCAGTACCATTACCGTTAGAAAAATGCAAGTTAAACTGCAATGAGCTAACCCTATCACAGCAGCTAACATTTTAAATCACGATAAAACCAAATGCGGGTGACAATGCAGTGAAGTTTTATTACTTTTACCCTGCTGTGAAATGGTGCGGTCTTTCAGGAAAACAGTGGCTGTTTCTCATAAAACTAAACATGTAAATATCATCAACTGCATCATGCATTTGTTACAGAGAAATGAAAACTTACGTTTCTGCAACAATCTGAATATGAATGTTCAGAGCAGCTTTATTTATAAGCCCCAAACTGAAATATCTCAGATGTCCTTCAACAGGTAAATGGTTAAACAGACTGTGGTCCATCTGTACCATGGAATTCTGCTCAGCAATAAAGGAGCAGACTACTGACACAGGGACAACCAGGGTGACTCTCCAGTGGATTACACTGAGTGGAAGAAAGCCAATCACAAAAGCCTTCACACTGCATGATTCCATTCACATAAACTCTTGAAATGACAAAATTACAAAACTGGATGAGAGATGAGTGACTGCCTAGGACCAGGGATGGGGGGAGAGGAGGCTGTAAAGGGTGGTGCAGGGATCCCGGTGGTGAACATTCTCTGTTCTGACTGCATTAATGTCAGCATCCTGGTTGTGACACTTTCCTACGTCATCAGTGGGAAACTGGGTAAAAAACACAGGTCTCTCTGCATTATTGCTTATAATTGCATGTGGCTATCTCCAGACAGTCTCATTGGAAAAGTCTCATTGACTCACCGGGAAAGACCCAGTTGCTGGGAAAGATTGAAGGCAGGAGAAGGGGCTGACAGAGGATGAGATGGTTGGATGGCATCACCAACTCGATGAACATGAGTTTGAGCAAGCTCTGGGAGTTTCTGATAGACAGGGAAGCCTGGCGTGCTGCAGTCCATGGGGTAGAAAAGAGTCGGACAGGGCTGAGTGACTGAACTGATCTCAAGATAAACAGTTTAATTAAAAATATAAAACTATGACAATGCTGTTTTTAAAAAACATCTATGCGAGGACTGGAAGATAAAGTTGAAGAAACCTGGTAAGAAGTAGGAACAAAAGGAAAAGGAGATGGAAAATAGGAGAGAAAAAAAAATCTCAAAGAATTAGTCCAGATGGCCCCTCATTTCTTAACTAGAGGCCCAGAAAGGCAACAGAGAAGAAACAAGGAGATAAAAATTGTTTGGATGCCAGGATTGGGGAAGCCATGTAGAACCGAGCCAGCTCGTGCTGAGTCCCAGAAAGGCTGGAAATCAGAGACTCCGGGTTCCCTGGGGCGGGGGCTTGCTGCTGGGTGTCCTTGCTCCCCACCCATCTGCACAGCCAGGGCACCCCCTTCCCCACCCCTAGAAGATGACAGATGTATTCTCATGGAGATGAGGCAGAGGCTCCCAGGGGCAGCCATGAGGCTTCTAACTGAGGGAGTGGGGAGCAGCAGATAGTCTACACACGGGGTCACGAGATTCCAAACCCCACACGCCACGCACTCACAGCGCACTCACCAGGGGGAGTGCGCGGGGTCACCACAGGAGGAACACCCGTCCACAAGACCCACCCCAAACACAGTCTCATGCGTACGTTTTTAACTATGTGAAGTATAATTCATGCACAGTGACGCGCCCACATCACCCGTGTCCGGCTGGATAGACTTTCACCAACTCAGCACACCTGTCCCCATGTCCCAGCAGGCCCTCATCCCCGGCTGGCCACACCAGGTGCTGACATCTGGTGACACAGACTCCTTTTGCTGTTTTCAGGGTTCTGTAAGTGGAACCATGCGTGTGCACTGCTTCTGCTGAACATCACATTTGTGAGAACTGCCTATAGGAACATGTGTACAGATCACTGTCACTGCAACACAACATCCACTGTGGGATACACTGCTTCATCCATCCTACCATCCATGGGCACTGGGGTGACTTCCAGGTTCAGCTCTTAGATACTCACGTGTTTAATCAGCTTTTAGTGCCTCCCATTTAAATATGAATAGACAGGTAAGGATCACCAAACATGGAAGACAGAGGGTCTTCCAATACAGGCAGCAGAGCAAAACTTGAAAGTGAAACTAAAATGAGTATCTTCTGAGCAATACAGAAAGATCCATAAAGGAAACAACAAAGGAAATTCAGGGAACAATTTCTAAGGAGTGCTCAGAAAGTAAATCTGTGGGAGCACAAATTTTACAATTAGGATGGTTGGAAGACAAATTTGAGGAAATTTTCCAGAGAGTAAGACAAATGGACAAAGGGAAAACAAGAAAACCAGGCTGTGGATCCAAGATGTCCAGTGTCTGAAAAACAGGAATCAGGGAGACTAGAGAAAACTCAGCACAGATAACAATAAAAGAGAACATTCCAGAACCAAATAACCTTAGTTACCACACTGAGAGGCCTTGTGAAGAGCCCAAAGAATGAAAAAAGACCCAAATTAAGACACATCCACACCACAAAGGCTTGCGTGGGGCCAACACAGGGCACATGAGGTAGGGAGACCAGTGGCGTCCACTTTCTCAGAGCAACACGGAAGCTGGGGGAGCCCCATATACTGAGGAAAAACATACTCCTAACTGGAATTCAACACCCAGCCATGTTATTACCAAGGATAAGTGCAAAACATGCATTTTAAAGGGTAACATAAAACGCAGCATTTATGAGCACCACAACCTCAAAAGTTCTGCCTCCTCATACACACTTAGGAATGCGCCCCTGGAGGAGGCATTTGATTACACGAGGGCACAAATCGAGGAGAGGGGCGTGGGGACCCCAGATGTGGGGTGCACTCAGGACAAAGGAAACCGCAGCACCGGCCAGGTTAGCACCCTGGGCCCCAGTTTAAGTTGGTAGATTACCTAATGTGTTTGAATAATGACAGTAACAAATATAGGGCTATTCCATGGGGGGGGGGGGGGGATGCATAAGGAAACAATGTGATCAGAGATATTATGAACAGGGCACAGGATTTTTGTTTTATGCTTGATGTGCTATAATCTGAATTTTTAAACTATACACATTTTATTATGTTAGAAAACAAGTACAGAAAAGGTCTCTTCACAATTCAATAAAATGAGGTAGAATCAATATAAAGGCCCTTGGCCTGGAAATTTTAAACCTCTCTTTTAAACAACATTCAGATTAAAAAAGAAATCAAAACCCACATTTGGAATATCCAGATATACTAAAAACAGTACAGCCGAGTTAACGCTCCTCAGAGAAAACTTCACAGCCTTAAATATTCATGTTAATAAACAAGAAGCAATGAAAATAATTGAATTAAATATTCCTACAATTCTGATACCAATTCCAATGTATGTGTTTTTATAACACCACCAAACAACTCTCCAACACCAGCTGGGGGGTCCTGCAATCCAACCTGGTTGAAACTGCCTGGAAGGACTATCAGGTCAAGGGCTCAGTCTCACGAGATGTCCCACCCCTGTGCCCCTGCCCCCGTCACACATCCAGGGACTGTCCCTGGGCTGCCCTCCTGCCCTCTGTAGACTGGATGTCCCTATGACCCCCTCCTCGGGTTCGGTTAATTTGCCAGCGAGGCTCAAAGAACTCAGAGAGACTGTCACCTACGAGATAACAGATTTATTGCAGGAGATGACTCAGAAACAGCCGAAGGGAAGAGAGGCACGAAGCGAGGCCTGGGTTGTTACAGACAAGATGACAAATGACCAGCCCCAGGTCAGCAAACTGAGACGTGACTCGTCTAGGCTTGCCCAGAAACGGGGTCTCAAACCAGACCGCCCGCACCTGCCAGCAAAGCTCCTGACCCCCCTGCAGGACCACGGCCTTGCAGTGAGCAACCCTCTTCTCCGCCTGAGTCACCCTGCTGCCCCTAGAAGTCTTTCGGCCCGCACAGCCCCTCCGGGGCCTCTCCAGCTGCTAACCGGCTGCCGCCGTTCTCAGGAACGGGAAATGAGGCCCATCACAGCTTTCAAGCCGGCTCAGCTGAATCCCCTTTTCTGACAGGAGAGGCACACAGGCTGCCTTCCCCAAGTGCACCCCACTGTCCGCGGATGGCCGCGTGCTCACCCACCAGGAGGCTCTCCGCGCCCATTCCTCGTGGCTTTCTTGGGGGCCCCGTTGAGTGAGTGACAGCCCAGGGGGGGCTGAAGCCAACCTCCGGCCCCTCTGCACCCCCTCCTCGGGGCGGGAGGCTGGGCGGCTGTGCAATCGAGTAATTCCAGCCCTCTAAACCCCTGCTTCCCTGGTGGCTCAGAGCTCAAAGCGTCTGCCTGCAATGAGGGAGGCCTGGGTTCGATCCCTGGGTCGGGAAGATCCCCTGGAGAAGGAAATGGCAACCCACTCCAGTATTCTTGCCTGGAGAATCCCGTGGACGGAAGAGCCTGGTGGGCTACAGCCCACAGGGTCGCAGAGTGGGACACGACTAAGCGACTTAACAACCCCCTGCGAGGCACCGCCATCCCTCTCGTCACCGTGGAAATCCCCAGGGGTTTCAGTTGCTCCAAGCCAGGCGTGGGGACACAGGAGACACCACGATCCCACTCAGGAGGCTACACAGACAACACGACCGCAGCGGCTCTCTGGCGCAGGACGTCTTACCTTCCAGCCCCCGCCTTCTGGCCGAGCAGGGGGAACGGGTGCGGTCCGGCGGCGGCGGCGTCCTGTCTGGTCTGAAGGGCCGACCGGGCTTGGTCCGACCACCAGTGGGCGGACAGGCACGGCCTTGAGGAGCTGTCCCCTCTGGCCCCCCGGCGGGGACTGGCCAGGCACACGTGGCCACCGTGAGAGCGGCCGTGGCCAAATGTCCCTGCCGCCTGAGGAGGCCCACGCCGCAACGGCCCAGCGAGGCTCCCAGGCCCGCGGAAACGACGCGTCATAAACGCCGATGACTTGGAGTGGCCGGTCGTGCTGCAACAGACGACCCGCCAACATGCTGCCCACGAAGGCCTGGGGCTCGGGGCTCCAGACCCGGGCGCTGCCAGCCGGCCACGCGGCACTCCACGTGGGGAGGCGGCCACACGCTCCGCTGCAGCCCGGCCCGGGGGCTCGGAGCCACCACGGGGAGAACCGGCGAGTAGCGGCCCAGCCGGAACCCAACGCGGGCACCTGGCCAGTGGGGAGGATTCCAGAAGCTTCTGTGAGCCCGGGGCCTCCCGGTGAGTTCCGGGTTCTTTCTCTTCACTCTCCTCCCTGGACTCTGGAAGGTTCTGTGAGCGCTCCTCCCGTTTTCTTCAGAGGCGGCTCCACGGCCTTCAGGAGGTTCTGTCGCGGAACCCAGCCCCAAGTTCAGGACGGAAAGCCGAGGTGTGCGCAGTGGGCGGGGAGCCGCTCCACATTCCAGAGCCGGCTAGGCGTCCACGCGCGCCCCAGGAGCGAGCGCCTTGCTCGGCGCAGCAGTGCGGCGGGAGCGCGGGCTGCGCCGGGAGCCTCGCGCGGGCTGCGCCGGGAGCCTCGCGCGTGCGCCGTGCCGTCGGCGGGCGGCCGGACAAGGTCGCACCCAGGTGCCCACTTGAACCGCTCCAGGGGCTCTCAGGGTCTAGCCGTCTTAACGGCGCCTGCGACCCAGCTGGGAAGGCGGGGGCCAGGGGGACCAGGTGGACCAGGTGGTCCTGGAGAACGTGCTCCTCTGCCCCCTGACGGGGGTCCCCTGAGCGAGATTTTACCGCAGAGAATCTTCCAGAAGCAGGAATCGGCCTCCCCGTTTTACTGTTCCAGGGCTGCCCAGGCTCCTCGGGGGCGTTTCTTGGGGTGGGGAGCAGCGACCACACTCAAGAGGCCTGGCCGAGCATCCCCGTCCCCAGGCAGCAGCCCCCTACTCCTGAGGCAGTTACTCCCTACACCCCAGCTGCGTGGTCGTGACAAACACTGCACAAGGGGCGGCTTAAACGACAGACATGTCCCTCCGTGCTGGAGGCTGGACGTCTAAGACCCAGGTGTCCGCAGGACCGGTTCCTCCTGAGGCCTCTCGCCGAGGCCAGTGCATGATCTTCTCCCCGTGTGTGCACACGGACGACCCCCTGTGCGTGTCTGTGTCCTGATCTCTTGCAAGGACGCCAGATTGGATTAGGGTCCACACTGATTTTCAGTCAGTCACCTCTTTAAAGCCCGGTCTCCAAATCAGAGCCTCATTCTAATACAAGGAGTTAGGACTTTCACATATGAATTTGAACAGAGACATAATTCAGTCCATAACACTGCTGTTTAACTAGGGTTGCCAGATTGAGGAAATAAAAACACAGGACACCAAGTTAAACTTGAATTTCAGAGAAGCAACACGTTTCTGCAGATTATCTGGGATTCAAGTTTAACTAAGTGTTCTGTGTTTTCTCTGGCAGCCTTATGCTTAACAAACCACTCCAGATTCTGTGGCTTAAAATCACAAGCGCTAATTACTGCTCACAGGCCTGCAGGCCAACTGTTTAGGGTCAGCTGGCTGTAGGCTGGTCTTGGCTGGCCTCTCCTCCACTTGGTCTGTCACCACCAACAGGTTGGCCCAGGTTTGTTCCTATGAGCCAGGAGGAAGTGACCCCTGCAAGGCCCTTGAGGCCTTGCCTCAGAACTGGAACATCAACACTTCAGCCACATGATGTGGGTCAGATCAAGTCACAGGGTCAGCCCATACTCCAGGGGTGGGGAGATGGACCCTTCATCCTACTGGGAGGGGCAGTCTCTTGTGTAACACGAAGGAGTAACAATCAGGGACACTTTTTTTTTCTCATTTTGTTTAAATATAGTTGATTTAGAATGTTAATTTCTGCTGTACAGCAGTGATTGAGTTATACATATATATATAAAAATATACTCCAACATATCTTTTCCATTATGATTTATCATAGGATATTGAGTATAGTTCCCTGTGCTATACAGTAGGACCTTACTGCATCATGGTTCTATTTGCTGACCCCAACCTCCCCCCACCAAGTCTGTTCTCTATGCCTGAATCTGCTTCTGTTTCCTAGATATGTTCATTTGTGTTATTTCAGATTCAACATATAAGTGATCTCCTATTTGTTTTTCTCTTTCAGACTTCACTTAGTGTAATAATCTCTAGTTGCATTCATGTTGCTGCAAATGGCATTATTTCATTACTTTTTATGGCTGCGTAATAGTCAATTGTGTATATGTACCACATCTTCTTTATGCACTCATTCACGGATGGACATTCAGGTTTCTGCTGTGTCCTGACTTCTGTAAATAGTGCTGCTATGAACATAGGGATGCCTGTATCTTTCTAAATTAGTTTTCCCCAGATGTACACCCAAGACTTGAATTGCTGGATCATATGGCAACTCTATTTTTAGTTCTTTAAGGAACCTCCTTACTGTTCTCCACAGTGGCTGCACAATTTACATTTCCACCGACAGTGTAGGAGAGTTCCCCTTCTCCAGCATTTGTTATAGATTTTTAATGATCATTCCTAGTAGTGTGAGGTGATACCTCATTTAAGTTTTGATTTGCATTTCTCTAACAATTAGTGTTGCTGAGCATCTTTTCCTGGGCCTATTGGCCATATGTATGTCTTCTCTGGAGAAATGTCTTATTTAGGTCTTGCACCCATTTTTTATTGGTTTTGTTGTTATTGAGTTGTGTGAGCGATTTATCTTGGCAACTAAGCCCTTGTCAGTTGCATCATTTGCAAGTATTTTCTCCCAGTCCATAGGTTGTCTTTTTATTTCCTTTGCTGTGCAAAAACTTCTAAGTTTGATTAGGTCCAATCTGTTAATTTTTGTTTGTATTTCTGTTGTCTTGGAAGAGAGACCTAAGAATACACTGATACAATTTATGTCAAAAAATGTTTTGCCACCATCTCTTCTGGGGGGTTTATGGTGTCTTGTCTTATATTTAAAGTCTGTAAGGCATCTTGAGGATATTTTTGTGTGTGGTGTGGTAATATTCTAACTTCATCGATTTGCACACAGCTGTCCAACTTTCCCACTTGCTGAAGAGCTTGTCTTTTCCCCATTGCACACTTTTGCCTCCTTTGTTGAAGGTTAACTGACCACAGGCGTACGGGCTTATTTCCGGGTTCTCTCTGCTGTTCCAGTAATTCCTCCGACTCTTTTTGTGCCAGTGCCACGCCATCTGACGACTGTAGCTCTGCAGTACAGTCTGAGGCCTGGGAGGGCTGTGCCTCCTGCTTTGTTCTCTTCCCTTAGGATTGTCTTGGCAATTCTGGGTCTTCTCTGGTTCCATGTAAGTTTTAGGATCATTTGACTAGTTCTTTGAAAAATATCAATTTAACAGTGAACTCATTAAATCTGTAGATTGCTTTGGGTAGCATGGCCATTTTAATGATATTAATTCTTCCAAACCAAGAGCATGGGATGGCTTTTCATTTCTTTGAATCATCTTTAGTTTTCTTTGTTCATGTTTTATAGTACTCTGCATATGTCTTTCACCTCCTTTATTCCTAAGTACTTTTCTGATGTAGTCTTAAAAGGAATTTTTTCTTTACATTCCCTTTATGATATTTCATTGTTAATGTAAAGAAACACAACTACTTTCTGTGTGTTAACTTGTATCCTGCTACCTAGCTGAATTCACTTATCAGTTCTAATAATTTGTGTGTGGAGTCTTTAGGGTTTTCTATGTCATCTGCATATGACGACAATTTTACCTCTTCTCTACCACTCTGAATACCTTTTCTTTTTCTTGCCTGACTAGTGTGTCTAGGACATCTAATAATATGCTGAATAGAAGTGGTCAGAGTGGACATCCTTGTCTTGTTCCAGATTTTAGTGGGAAGGCTTTTAACATTGAGTATTATATTGGCTGTGGGTTTGTCATAAATAGCTGTCACTATGTTGTGATATGTTCCCTTGAGACCCACTTTCATAAGGATTTTTATCATGAATGGATGTTTAATTTTATCAAATGCTTTTTCTCATCTATTCTGAGATGATCAGTGGCTGTAACCTTTTCTTCTTAATGATGTGGTGTAACACATTGATTTGTGTATGCTGAACCATCCTTTTGACCCTGAGATGAATCCAAATTGGTTCTGGCATATGATCTTTTTTATGTGTTGCTGGATTTGGTTTGCTAATACTTTGTTGAGAATTTGTAAACCTATATTTGTCAATGATACTGGCAATTTTGCTTTTTGGTAGTGTCTTTGGTTTTGGTATCAGGGTGGTGGTGGCTTCATAGAATGTCTTTGGGAGTGGGACAGGGACACTCTTGCAGTCAATCTACTCTGGCAGCCTTGGAGCCACCTGACCCGAGTCCACGGTGACTTCCACACAGGATGGTGGAGTCTGGACACAGAGCAAAGTGGGAGCCATAGTCATGGGGGTGGCGGGAATGGTCCTCAGTGTAGAGGAGTGCATGACTTCTCCAAAGCCTGCTCTGCAGATTCTGCTCTGAGATGGGCGGTTATCAATCATGACTAGTCACAGGCATACATACCATGGCGCTACTGCAAGTTTAGTTTCAGACCACCTCAATATAGCATATACCTCAGTAAGTCAAGTCACATAAAGTCTTTGGTTTCCCAGTGCATGTGACAAGTTATGTTTACATTATATTACAGTCTCCTAAGGGTACAACAGCATTTTGTCTAAAAAATGTACTTGTCTTAATTAAAAAATACTTTCTTGCTAAAAAATGCTAACCATCACCTGACTAGATTCGACTCTTGTTCAGTTTCTAGAATCCAGTGGTCACAACCTAGGAGCCCATGCCAGGGCAGCAGGCCATCTGCTCCTCACACCAGCCAGCCCAGCAGGTCTGTGAACCCCTGTGCAGAGCTGGGGCATCCCTTTTTATGACTTCAAACCAGCCTCCTGGCAGAAGGGGTTCTGAGAGTCAAACTACCATGGGAAGTATTTCAGCTGGCAGGAATCCAAGAGGCAAGAGCAGCTGCCTCTCAGCCTTCAAGGGCCCCCACCCGAGATCTAATGGGCTTCATAGGCACACTGGGCGCTTGCCCCAGCAGTGGCGGCTCTGCGGCTGCTCTGATCCAGGGCTGCCTGTCCCGAGGAAGTGCCGGGGCTTCACACACTTCTTGCTGACGTCTGAGCAGGACTCCCAGCTGTCCGCTGACCTCCGTGAATGGAGGCACAGGCAATCTTCTCAACCGGAGGGAGTTAGGCTGAGAAACACTCCATCCTCTCAGCTTCTCGTGGCCACAGCAGCTCTGGGCAGATGCGCCTGATGCCAGAGGCCAGGGGCAGGGAAAGGGACTGCTGGAAAAGATGCTCAGATTTCTCCAAGGGCCAGCAAGGAGCCCTGGTGGTTTGTGAGGAACTGTCAGAGGCTGGGACTGGGGCAGTGACACTCCTGGACAATATTCTGTGGCCTGGTTCAGCGCACCCACAGAAATTACTGTGGTGCATGGCGGGGGAGCGCCATGGAGCCCCCTCGCCTCCCCCACAAAGCTCCATGAGTAGAGGGGTTAGAGAAACAAGGGAAGAACTGGAAACACATAGGTGGGATGCAGGCTCCCCCACCCACCACCTGGGAGGCATGAGCCCCACCTCCCATGAGCTTCAGCAGAGGTGCTGGGTCAGAGCCAGGGGACTTCAACAGGAGGCAAAAGTCAGTCAGGGCGGCATGGTCAGGGATGAGGCCCGCGGCCACAAGGGCCTGCTGCACAAACCAAACACCAACCGTTTCATGAGAAGGTGCTGAACGAGGGAACGAAGTCCCAGCACCATGGCTGGAGAGCCAAGAAGTGGCCCCGGATGGTCCCCGTTGGAAATGTTGACATCCAGAACATTCTGCTGTGTCTGTGACGCGAAGGTCAGCGAGGCGCTGGATGGGGAATGCAGAGCACCAAAGATGGAGAGCGGGTCCTAAAATGTTCAGTGAAGAGCTTTTGAGGAGAGACTGCCAACTTCTTCAGAAGAATGATGGAGGCCATAACAATGGGAGAAAATAAGTCAACATAATTGAATATCTGGAAAAACTATCTTTCAAAGAATAGGATGAAATGAAACAAATTACAGAAAAAAAAGTTTTTTCTTTGCACTGGCAACAAAAGAAAAAATAGATATCACGAAAATGGAAAATGTTTATGCATTAAAAAACAGTATAAACAGAGTAACAGGCAACTCATAGAATGGGAAAAAATATTTACAAGTCACATAATGATAACAGATGAACATCTGGAACATACAGAGAACCTCTGAAACTCAACAACAAAAATCCAATTTTAAAAAGGAGAAAAGGATTTGAATAGAGGTTTCTCCAGAAAAATATGCAGATGGTTAGTAAGCAAATGAAAAAGATGCTCAACATCACTAATCATTAGGAAATGCAAATGATAAAACCATAATGATATACCACCTTGTTACAATGACTACTATCAAAAGAAGAAAAAAAAACACAGAAAATAACAAGTGCTGACAAGGATGTGGAGGAATTAGAACCCTAACACTTCGCTAGTGGGAACATAAAGTGGTCCAGCCACTGTGGAAACCAGTGTATCAGTTCCTCAGAAAATTAAAACATTTACAGAATAACCGTATGAGCCAGCAATTCCACTCCTGGGCATGTGCCCAGAGGAAGCGAAAGCTGAGTCTCAAAGAGGCATTGCACTCTCACGTTCATGATGTTCTCACAACAGCTGAAGGTAGAAGTACTCCGAGTTATCCATCCACAGATGAATGGAGAAACAAATATGGTCAATCTACACAATGAAAAACTAGTAAGACTTAAAAAGGAAAGAAATTCTGGTTCATGTGACAACATGGATGAATCTTAAGGACATTACGCTCAGTGATAAAAGCTGGTCACAAAAGTAGAAATACTGTACGATCCACTTAGTTGAGGTCCCTAAAGGAGTCAAATCCACAGAGACAGAAAGTAGGATGGGGCGTGTTTAACGGGGACAGAGCTTCAGCTTCAGAAGACGAGGGACTTCTGGAGATGGTAGTGGTGATTGTTGCACAACAATATGAATGTACTTAATGCCACCGAACCTGACACTTAAAGATGGCGTTAAGTTTTGTTATGTGTATTTTACCACAATTTTGAAAAAATTAAAAGAAACAGAGTTTATAACAAAGCGAAAGTCTTTGAAGGGTTCAGTATTCTGTTTTTCAGAGTTCCTTCTCCTCCGTCCTTCCCAGGCCCCACCCTGCCTACTTGTTCTAATCTGTTTCCTGGGTTCCATCCTTTAACCCTGAACCCAATATCAGATTTCTCATTCTTTTATTAAAAGCCAGCATTTAAAACACAACATCAAGAAAGTGAAAATAATTTTTTTTTTTAATATTAACAGTAAGCAGAGGGAATTCCCTGACATTTCGGCACTTTCACTGTCGTGGCCTAGGTTCAAACCCTGTTTGGGTAACTGTGATCCCTCAAACAAGCCGCATGGCCTGGCCAAAAACAAACAAAAAAAGTGAAAAAAAACTCAGAATGGAAGAAAAATGTCTGTAAATCATGTATCTGATAATCGTGTACCTGTAATGTAGAGAGGGCTCTTACAATTAAATAATGAAAAGACAAATGGGCAAAGGATCTGAGTTGATGTTTCTCCAAAGAAAACATATAGCCAGTAAGTGGCCAATAAGCACAGTAACAGACGCTCAGTGTCACGGGCCACCGCGGAAATGCAAATCAAAGCCACAGCACACGACATCACACCCCCGAGGACGGCAGTGGTCAAAAAGGCAGGTGATGACTAGCGTTGGTGAGAATTCAGAGGCACTGGGGCCCTCGTCCAGTAGTGGGTGTGTCAGTTGCCCAGCTACAGTCTGCTCTCTGCAACCCCAAGGACTGTAGCCTGTCAAGCGTTTCTGCCCATGGACTCTCCAGGCAAGAATACTGGAGTGGGTTGCCATTCCCTTCTCCGGGGGAATGTTCCCAAACCAAGGATTGAACCTAGGTCTCCTGCACTGAAGGCAGCTTCTTTACTGTCTTAGCCTCCAGGGAAGCCTCTGGTGCACTAATAGTGGGAAGGTAAAATGGTGCAGACTCTGGAAACCCGTCAGGCAGTTCCCTAAATTACTAAATACAGAGTTACCATACGATCCAGCAACTCCACTCCTAGTTACGTGCCTACGAGAATGAGCGTATGTTCAAGTGAAAATCTGTACACAAATGTGCACAGAGTATTGTTCTTAAGTCAAGAACTGGAAACAACTCAAATGCCCTTCAACTGATGAATGGGTGGATACATCCATGCAGTGGAGTATCATTCAGACATCAAAGGAGTGAAGCATGACACAGGCTACCACAGACATGAACCTTGAGAACACGATACTAAGGGAAAGAAACCAAACACAAAAGGCCATGTATTGTGTGCCTGCGTTTGCATCAAGCGTCCAGAACAGGCAGATCTACAGAGAGAGCAGATGAGCAGGGCAGGAGCTGGGGAGAAAGGGTGCGAGTGGAAGCTACCAGGTGTGGGGGCGTTTCTGGGGTAATGACTGGTTCTGAAAAGGACTGCAGTGCTGGTCGTACAGCTGTGTGACTAGGAACCCAAGCCTGGGGAGATCCGCCACAGCACAGGAAACCAAGAAACCCTCTGTGAGCAGAACTCACTCTCCAAAGGAGCAGCAGTTAAGACAGACATCAGCACACACATGCATCCCATGCTCTTCATCTCTAGAAAATTGGTCTAGTCCCGCTCTGTCCCGTGGAAACAGAAAACAAACTAGAAACATAGTTTTAAATTTTCTAGTGGCCACACTTAAAAAGTTAAAAGAAACATGTAAAATTTAACACCATCTTAGGTAAGCCTGTCTACCCCATTATTATCACTTCAAACATGTCAACATAAACAATTTTAATGAGCTATTTTACATCCTGTGTGTTTTACACCAGCAGTCGTCTCAGCTCAGGTGGCCCATCTAACTCTCCCAGCAGCAGAGCCTCCAGCAGTGAAAGATTCACTCTACATCCCCACAACAGATCAATTTGAGCAAAGCCAGAAAAAGGAATCTGTTGGCCAATTAACTGAAGGCCACAAGAGATCTTGTCTACTGGCGGGGCTGGGTCCAGGAGTTTTGTCTCTCTCTCTCTCTCTCTCTCTCTCTTCCCCTCATCTCTTAGCTCCACACTTCAGAGCTGGTGTCACCCCTGCCCCCAAGGCACCCCACATTAAGGAGTATTCACTCTTTTCAGCAGTTTCAGGGGAAACAGTTGTTCCTGATGACGTGGCATGCTCAGCCTGATTGGCACGGATGCTCTGACTGGTCAGCTGGGGTCACAGCCTCGCTGGAGCACTCCCCGGGGTGTGGAGGGGGAGCAGCTCCCGAGACCAGGGACTCAGGCCACAGACAGAGCCCAGCACCTACACCCTAGCCCAGCATGGCCTCTGAGGTTGAAGATGCACACAGCACTGCTGGTGTCTTGTTAATGTAACTTCTTAATTGTCTGCATCTTGCTTCCAAGCTTCTGCCCTACTGAGAAGTAGGAACAAACGTTAAACTTTCAAATATCTTAATCCAGTGGTGTTTAAGTGGCCTCCTTTGGGGACTTTCATGGTGGTCCATTGGTTACGATTGCACCCTGCAATGCAGCAGACACAAGTTTGACGCCTGGGGGTGGGGGGGGAGGATTAAGATACCGCATGTTAGGGAGCAACTAAGCTGCTGCCTGGCACCTGCTGAAGCCCGTGTGCCACGTGACTCAACTAAGACCAGAGGCAGCCAAATAAATACATATTAAAAATAAAATCAACAGTTTCCTTTGGGCAAATGTTAAGTCCCAGGTCATAGTTCAGCTCCCTAACAGGGCTTCCTCCCTTTATCTTCTTTCCACGATGGTGGTGGGGCCTGAGGCAAAGCTGACAAGGCTTCCTGACACTAGGGAGGCAGGTCTGCTCCTCTCTCGGCCTCCACTGGAAGTGCCTCACCCACTCAGGGACGTCCTGTACATCTGGATAGGTTGTGCACTGCACAACTCCGGTGGGGTACCATTGACTTAGGCTACAGTGGACACAGATCTTCCCGAAGTGGTGTGCGCAGCAGCCCCATCCTGCTCACCTCTGGTCCTCGGCCTCGCTCCTCACTGAATGTCCCGGCTTGGGGGCACCTGCAGCCCCTCTGCAGCGACTCCAGAAGCCGCTCTGCTGCCTGCCCTGCTCAGCAGCCTCCTCTTCCTGACCTCAGGCTCCTTCCTGCAGCTGGCGGCCCCCTCAGCACCTCTGCGCCTCGGCCGGGCTCGCTGGACAGGGACGCTATCCCCCAGCCCCTCATTCTGCCCCTTCCTCACCAGGTGGGGCAGGGGCCTCCCTCGCCAGCCCCCAACCCCTTGCCTGAGTCCTCGTTGGTGGAACTCCAGTGCTAGCGGCACTGGGGGCAGCCTGAGGGGCGCTCTAGGACCCCGGCCCTCGAGACGGCCCCGCCCTCCAGGGCACCATCAGCCCGCAGGGTCACCTGCGGCTGCTCCCCTCTGTGTGGCCCAGGAGGCGGTACTGAGTCCAAGAGCCGCGCTCCTAGCTGGGAGAGCCCTTCCCCGGAGACTTGAGAGGAACGTGTCCCTCAGAAAATCAGCTCACACAAGGAAGGGAAAAGGGGCTCCTTCTCTCACTACAGCTCCGCGGCCCACCCCCCACCCCGTCCCCTCAGCATCGCACCTGGGACTGGTGTCCCGGAGAGACCGGGCCTCAGGGGGGCCGGGCGGAGGGGGACGGGGGGGCGTCCGACCTGGGGGCCGATGGACGAGGCAGCAAGGGCCGGCGGGCCGCGGGGAGGACGCCTGGCTGGAGTCAGTGTGAGAGCTTCGGGGCTCACAGTGCAGTCCACAGCGCGGAGGCGTTCTCCCAGCCAGAGGCGAAGGTGGGCGGCACGCGACCGGAAGGAAGCCACGTGACTCGAAGGAAGCCACGCGCCCGGAAGCGGAAGTGCGGGGTGGGGCCGCGTTCGGCGCCCTGGAGGAGCCTCGGAAGGGTCCCGCGGCCCCCAGGTGTGATTGAGGACCCGCGCTCCTTGCTTCCCAAGGAGCCTGGCACAGCCTCTGCCTCTCTCGGGGCCCGGGCCCCCCTCAGCGTGGGCCGCCTTTGACCTCGCATGCTGCTGACCCAGCCTCTGCTCCCCGGTGGAGCACAGCCTCCCAAGTCACCCTGGCCCGAGGGGCGCTGCTCCTCCCCAGGTGGCCCTTCCTGCCTGTCCAGCTGGCCGCCACCACAGACCCCCGTGTGCAGTCACCGGGCTGTTCCCAGGCGTTGCCACCTGAACCCTGCCTCCCCATCGCAACGGCTTCATGCAGAGCTTGGCACGCAGAAGGGCTCAGCCCGGCGTGCTGGAGCCTTCACGCCGGCCACCAGACACCCCCACCCCATGCGCTGCCCGGCGCCGCAGGGGAGCACTGGCCTTGGCAGTCAGGGCCAAGAGCCTGGATGCTCCCGCATGAATGACAGTCAGATGGTGCCGCCCCCCGCCCCACCCCATCCCGCTAGATTTGAGCGCTTCTGATTGCGCCCAAAGACCAGCGCCTGCTTTCACGTGCCCACCGGCGGGCTGGGGCCCTCGGCAGGGCTGATTGCGGCGGAAAGCTGGAGGGGACAGAGCTACGCGAACAGGCCACGTCACACCCCAAATGGGACCGTGTTTGCCAAATTTGTTTCCGATGCAATTTCATGCTGATTACACTGATTTCTCTGGTGATTGAGCCTGGCGCTGAGCTCGCCGCCCCGCAGACCGGCTGTCAGGATGGGCCCGTTTTTGGAGCGGGAGGTACTGATGATGATTTATGGGCCACTGTCAGCATGCTGTCTCCGGGCAGAGATGCTGAAGGTATCCTGGAGCGCTACCGGCTTCTCTGGGGACCTCTCCTGCCGCGTGGCCGACTTTTAGTCCCCCAAGGCCACTCCCCACCATGCCCCTCAGCTTTCCTGTGTCTGAGTGGCTGTGAGCTCCACACCAGTTCACTTGGCCAGACCGGTGGCTGAACCAGGAGGGGACCATCAGCCTCATCACTGTCATCACCTGGCCCGGCCCGCAGGTCATGCATAGGCAGAGGTGCAGGTCACTCTCTGGGGTCCTTCACACCCTTCCTGTTCTGACACAGGCCGGCCCAGGCCAACAGGACCCTCTGGATGGGGCTCAGGCCCTGGCTTAAGTGTCAGCTGAAATGCCCAGTGGCCCTGGGGCCAGGTGTGATGCTGGGGCCCCACCCTCAGGGCCCACTGCAGAACAAAGGTGACGGTCCTGGGGGCCCTGCTGCAGTCACCCCCTGAGGGCAGGAGCCCTGACACCCGGGAAATGCTGCCCAGAGCAGGGGTGGGGTGGGGGGAGGTGGGACCGGCTGGCTGTTGTGCTGCCACCCTAGACCCCTCCCAGCAAGGAAAACCCAGAGCCACGAGTTTTAGCAAAAATGTTTACTCTCCTTAATGTGTGTGTATTTACAAGTACTAAATCTGAGACAGTAAAATAGGAAATAGCCGTGTATTTACACAACCTGCAAGCCTAGAGCCACGCCGCCCCTGGGAGAGGCAGCGGCCGAGGGGCCACTCAGGCTGCCGAGCGATCGCTCTTCTTTTGGGTGGGGGCTCTGCGGCGTTAAAGGACAGCTAATTGTGGGCTTCGTCTTAAAAATATCTCTCTCTCTAAATATATCTATTCTAGCTTGTGTAGCACCAACGGCGTGAGCCCTCAGCTCCAGCACTGGGGGGAGAGCCAGGCAGGGCTCGCTCAGCGAGGGCACAGCAGGGGTGGTGGGCCTCTCCCGTGGGCCGGGCCGGGCCGGGGTCAAGGAGTGTGGGCAAGCTCGAGGTATATGGAGAGGCCAGGCTCCGGACCGTGGCCGAGCCATCCCTGGCGCTCCTGAGAGGCGTGCGGGCGAGAACGAGGGAGGCAACCCAGGGCAGCAGGCAGTAGCAGCAGAGTCCAGGCAGGCAGGCGTTCTGGCCCAGCCCCCTGGCCCCAGGACTGCAGAGGGGCCCCCGGGGGCGCCTCTGCACAGAGCAGGGTTCCATTCCGTGCCCCGGCCGCCCTCGGGCCAGAGCTGGGCTCAGGGTCAGAGTGCTGGGCCGGAGGACATGGAGGTGCCAAGGGCGAGACAGGCCAAGGACTCGGCCTGACTCCCACCTGGGGAAGGAGGTGCGCCCGTGCTGCCGGTGGACGGCAGGCTCAGGTCGGTGATTGGCTCGCGTGTAAACAGACAGCGCTAAAGTGCTCGCACCGACCCGCCTGTGTGCTCTGCCATGCCGGGCAGCACTAGCGGCTCCCCACTCCTGCATCCCCACCGCCCAGACTGCCAACCTGCCAACCCGACCGCACGGCGGGCGCGAGGACCAGGGAGGCCTAGGGAGGGGGTGGGGACTGGATTCCGAAGGGGGTGGTGCCTGGCCGGAGTGGGGCTGGAAGAACGGGGGCTTCGATCAGAAGCAGCCTCAGGGAAGACGGGGGGAGGCCCGCACACAGGGACCCGGCGCCTCCCCGACCTGAGCTCCTGCTGGGCGCCCACCGCGTGGGGGCCCGAGCCCTGCTCAGCGCCCGTGGGGCCTGGGGGCCTCTGACCCCCAGCTCCAGGAGCTTCCTGAGTCGGCGAGCTGCGGGCTTCACCCCTCCCCCCGCGGGCGGGCTCACGCCGAGTCGGGGAAGGCGCGGGGCGGCCACAGTTAGCTGTCCCTTAAGAGTCCGCGGAGATCTGTAGTACCGTCGAAAGAGTGAATTGAAAAGGGGACGGGCCACTGCCTTCACAAGTGACTGATTAATTAAAAAACATGAAAAAGGGGGCCTAACAACCTCTAGTATTCAACACTTGCAGTTTTAAAAAGATCAAGTCATACTAAACGCTAGCACAGTCATGCAGGAATCCACGGCCCGCCTCCGGGAAACTCTAGGCCAAGCAGTCTGTCCTCACGTCAACAGGGAGACAGGCTGCCCCACAGGTGGACGCGGAGGCCGGGGCGCTCCAGCAGGAGACGCTGGGCACGCCCATTTGGCTGGGCTGTCCCGGTGCCTCGGGTCATACTCCAAACTGTAATTCCTCCTCCTCCAGTTAACTGTACAGGACCCCACTGGGGCTGGAGACAGGCAGAGCCACATATATATATATATATATATATATATATATATGTATATATATGTACAGGTTTTTTAATTAAAAATGTGTACTCTTGCTAGCTGAGGGCAGGGTGGGCAGCCCTGACCTCCAAGCCCTCTGGTCACTGCATCCTGCTCCTGGCCAGGCCACTGGGTACAGTCCAAGGCCCCCACAGCTCCAGCTGTCCAAGCACAGCAGGACTCCCCTGTTCCCCTAAAAAACGAGCAACGTCCCCCAAGCGCCCCCCCCCCTCCAAGGGGCCAGCACACTGCTGAGGGGCCAGACTGAAGCCGCGGGAAGGCAGGTGGGAGGCTGGGGGGTGGGCAGGAGGCTGATCAGGGTGGCTCCAGGGCCCTCCACAGCAGAGAGCTCAGCCTGGGGCAGGGCAGGTTTCAGGGGGGAATAAATAAGGGGAACGTGCACTCACAGCCCAGAGCCCCAGGCCCCAGTGGCTCCCAGAGGCACAGCCCTGAGGACAGAAGGGGACCCGAGTCCTTCCAGAAGTCACCTGGGCCCTGCGTGGAGCCGTCCTGCAGCCCCTCCATAGGAGGGAGCTCGGGGCCTCTCTCTGGGTGAGGTCGACGCGGCGCTCCAGCCTCGACCGCGGAGAGCACGCGGTGAATCGAGGATGGTGGCGGCGGTGGGACACCGGGACGTGGCAGGTGGGTGGCGCCGGCCCAGGCCGACTTCAGCTCCCCGCGGAGGGGCCCTGGGCGTGCCGCCTCCCCACCCAGGTCGCCAGCCAGGCCCAGCCCTCAGATTCTGCGCAGGAGGCGGGCACAGCGGCCCGCCCAGCCCTGGGCCCGGCCCGCTGGCCTCTGCGACCTCGCATCTCCCTCCTGGAGGGCTCCGGCCTCACCCTGGGGCCTCGACAGCCCCCTGCTGTCCTGAGGGGGCCGGGCCACACCTGGGCTCCCTGTCCCCCTGCAAACAGCTCTGAGCGCAGGGAGGGCTGCAGACACTGCCTCACCCACACCAAGGAAGAGCCAGGACCCCACAGGTGGGAAGGGGACACGGGGGCCGGGGGCCAGGGCCGCACACCTGGCCCCAGCGCAGGACCCCGGCACGGCAGGCGAGGCTGCCTCCGTGGACCTCACAGCTTTGGCCGCCAGGCGGAGGCCGCCGCCAGGGTCCTCTCACTCACTGCCGCTGGCCGGGCGGCTGGGCCAGGGGCTCAGCTGCTCAGGGCCATGGTGTCCACCACCTGCTCCAGCCTGCCACGGAGCCGCTGCCGCCGTGCCTGCTCATCCTTCTCCAGGGCCGTCAGGATCTGCAGGGGCAGGGAGGCGCCTCAGGTGGGCTCCGGGGCCACACACAATGCCCGCGGCCAGAGCCTGAGGGACCTGGGCTTGGAGCCAGGACCCCCAGGTCCCCAGGGTCTCCTAACCCCCTTTCCCTGAAACCACCCAGACAGGGCTCGGGTCCCTTGCCAGCCCTCCAGGTCCCCTGGGGTGCAGTGTCTGAACTCCCAGTGCTGTGTCCCGTGGGCAGGCAGCGCCCCCCACCCCCAGCAGCCATGTTGCCATCCCCACCCTCCCCCCGCAGCCCCTGTCTCTGTGCCCCTCACTGAGCCCCACCCCAGGTCACGGAGGGCTCTCCTCCCCCTGCAGCTCCTGCCCCCTGGACCCAGGCTCAGCACAGCCCCTTCTCTGCTCTGGGCTCCCTCCCTGAGCCCCCTCCTCCGGGCTTAGCTGACTGTCCCCTGGCTCTGCTGCCTCCCCCAGGTCCGGCCCTGTGGCCAAGTCTCTGGAGCCGACCACTCCACCCTCTCGACCCAGGGAACCAGGCTCCTGACCCTCCCCCTCTCCCACCCCACCCTACTTCTTGACATGCCCGCCCCTACCTCCAGCCCCTGGCAGTCAGGTTCCGTGTGCCCGGGAGAAGCTCGCACCCCTAACACCCACATACCCCACAGCCAAGGCCACCCTCCTGCTGGGAGGCTCTGTAGCAGGCCTGCCCTGGCCTCAGGCCTGGGCCCCAGCAGTGGCCAGCGGGCCTCTCTAGCCTGTGGCTCAGTCCTCTGTCCCCAGCGTCTCAGCGAGGCCCAGCAGCCGCCCCCAGCAGCAGAGCCGGTGTGAAGGCCGAGGACACCGGGCCTGTCCAGCAGAGCGGGGCAGAGTCTGCACTGACCTCGTCCTTGTACTTGGTGATGTACGAGTAGATCTCGTGCAAGGCGCTCATGCTGTTGAACTGGCTCAGGTGCAGCCTCGACTGCTCAGCCAGGTAGGCGCTCATGTCCTGGTCGCTGATGGCGGGCATCTTGGCTATGTCAGCGTAGTACCTGCGGCGGTGGGCTTGTGAGCAAGGGCGCGGCCCGCCCGCTCTGCGTCGGGCCCCCACCCCCGGCCCCGCCCCGGCTCCTCCCCCTCCGCATCCTCAGCCCAGACCCCCGCCCCCTCTGCGTCCCTCCAGCCCCACCCCCTGTGCGTCCCCGCCCGGCCCCGCCCCCTCTGCGGCCCCGCCCCGGCCCGCGCCCACCTCTCCACCCAGCTCTTGTAGTTGGGGATGTCCTTAGCATAGAGCAGCTTGTTGGAGGGTGAGTCCTTGCCCAGCTTGTGCTCCGACGTGGAGCAGGAGTCCATGAAGGTCTGGGCCACCACCGACAGGCAGGCGTCCGTGATGCTGCTCTTGTGGATGTCGAACACGAACTGCGGGTTCTTGATCACGTTCACCCAGAAGCGCAGGGGCAGGCTGCGGGCAGGCGGGCACACGCAGCGTCAGAGGGGCCACGGCCACCCCCGGGGCGCAGCAGGAGGGGCTGACCTGTGGCCTCCCCGTCCTCCTGGCTCCAGCCTACTTAGCGACTGTGGAGCTCCACGCAGCTGGGGAGACGGGCCCAGAGAGCCTGGCAGTGAGGGCTGCACCCCCTGCCCACAGTCCCAGGGTGAAGGGTGCACACCCAGAGGCGCTCTTGCCTGGGGTCACTCGTGTGCACAGCCAGGGTCCTCCAGGCCTGAATGCCTGTTCACGGCCCACTTAGTTCCCTTGTTCCTGCCCATACAAGTGTTGGTAACAAGACCAGGAAGGGTTAGGGGAGACAGCTGACCTCTGACCCCAAACGCCAACCTATTTGACAGCCACTAGCCGGGTTAATGGCACCGCACTCCAGTACTCTTGCCTGGAAAATCCCATGGACGGAGGAGCCTGGTAGGCTGCAGTCCATGGGGTCGCGAAGAGTCAGACATGACTGAGCGACTTCACTTTCACTTTTCCCTTTTATGCACTCACTGGAGAAGGAAATGGCAACCCACTCCAGTGCTCTTGCCTGGAGAATCCCAGGGGTGGGGTCGCACAGAGTCGGACACGACTGAAGTGGCTTAGCAGCAGCAGCCGGGCTGCAATTCATTGGGTCGCAAAGAGTCGGACACGACAGAGCGACTGAACTGAACTGAGCGGGGCTAAAACCTCTGGTGTGTCACCGAGCTAAAAATTCAGGTGCTTGGCTGCGCCAGTTACGTCAGATGCTCCCAGCGGCAGGTGGCCACGTGGCCGGCACACACCTGGAGCCTTCCGTCATTCCAGGAGTGCCCCTGGATGATGCTGACCTACTCGATGCTGCCTCCCCCATGCCCTGTGGACCCCCTCGAGGTCTGTGGGCAGCACAGGTGGACATGAAGGCCCAGGTGGGCTCACTCAGAGGCTTGGGGAGCGGCAGCACGCAGAGCCGAGGGCGCTGGCAGGGCTCAGGGAACGAGAAGGAATAGGCCAGAGGCACAGAGCTTCTGAGGAGCAGGCCCGCCCTGGCCGGGCGTACCGACCGCTAAGGAGGTGAGAGCCCGACCGGAAGTGGCTGCTGGCTTGGGGGCCTGGGCTGGGAGGGGGTCACCATCGCTGTTACCCTCACTGCTGTAGGCAGCACGGGCCGGGCCCCCGAGCCATGTGTCACACAAAAGACCATACCTGCACACAGTCCTGCACGCCCAGTGACACGCGAATACACGTGTGCACACACACCCACGCCCCCACAAGATGGGCAGCAGATCCTCCTGATGGGTGAGTCAGGGAGGCCCATGTGGAGGGGGATCGGCCCCGCCCCGCCCCGCCGTACCAGTTGCTTTTCCAGGTGTGGCGCACGTCCGCGTCATGGATCTGGTGCTGGTCGGCCTGCTCATCCAGAAAGTCGAACATGTACTTGATGGCCAGCGGCAGGGCCGAGCCGCGGTGCGCCGTGCTGAAGATGGTCTCAAACAG